TCCTCCTCCTCCTCCTCCCCCGTTCTCCTCCTCCTCCTCTTCCTCCTCCTCCTCCTCCTTCGTTTAGTGCTTGTCGACTCGTGCTCTTCGACTTGTGGACCGTGCAACAATAAAACCTACAAATCATCATCATTGTTGCGGAATTGTCGAAGATCATATGGGATTCTAGCGATAAGCTGTGTTATTTGTCGGTTGTTTCTCTGCATTTCTCTTTTTTCGTTTTGCGCATCCCTTTCTATTTTGTTTTTCGTTTGTCGAATTTGCCCCTTCGTTCGTAGCCAATTTGTGGGGTAGTGTGTCGCTGTTGGCGCCCGTTGAGGCTTATAACTTTTTACCGCCACTGCGCATTCTGTCCACGTTGCTATGGCTTTGTGACGTTGGCTTGTATGCGTTGTCACGTGCTGGGAAATCCCACCAGCCCTTTGGGCGACAGGTGGTCTAGCGAGCTTCTTCTTCCCTCTTCCAACAACCCTTTCTTCCCCTTCGGGGAGGGGTTCACCCCTCCCCCTACCCCCTCCCCTGGACCTGGACGGGAGGTTTCGCGAGGTGTCAGAGCGTCATTTTTCGCTTCTTGGGAAGGCTATTTTTTGACACCCCTCATAAGGATCGTGGCCCCCAAGAGGGCCCCAAGAGCGCGCCAAGAGGCCCCACGATTGCCTCAGGACGGCCCCAGAGGTCCCCAAGACGGCCCCAAGAGGGCCCAAAGGCGCTCAAGTGGCCTCCAAGACTCCCAAGATGGCCCCCAAGAGGCCTTCCAGGGCTCCCAATAGGCCCCCAACAACGCCCCAAGAGGCCCCAAGATGGCCCCAATACGGCCCCAGAGTCCCAGACGCTCAAGTGGCTTCCAAGACGGCCGGTATGGCCCCAAGAGAGCCCAAGATCGCCCCAAGATGTCTCCAAGACGGCCCACTATGCACCCAAGACGACCCCAAATTGCCCCAGGATGGCCCAAGACGGCCAGACGACCCCGAGGGCCCTCCAAGACGGACGTGGTTCACGTTTGAATTGCTTGCTGCTACACCTCCCTCACCAAGGCAACTCGCCTGGCGACTGCTTTGGGGTTGGCTGGTGGGGATACGCGAAGCGTGAAGAATCCAAAATATTGGCCACGACAGCGCTGTTGATAATGAGGACCATTGCGATGACGATTGTGATGAAAAGCGATGGCGATTGCGTTGGTGCTGGTGGTGGTGATGGCGACGAGCATACTGGTGCTAACTGTCATGGTGGCGGCGTTTGTTGCGAGGGTGGCTTCGATGGCGATCGATGGCCGATCTGACAATGGTGGACGCGCGAATGGAATGACAGCGGGGTTGGCGATGGCGATGCTGATGACGCTGGTGGTTACAGTGGCGATCGATGACCGCTTTGTTTTATTTGTTCTAGTCAGACCAGTGGCGCTAGTACCTCCCCGATTGGGTCCCAGAGCTCAGCTCTCTTACTATAAAGCTCAGCATCGCTCAAAAGTTCGTGGGATGGGCCAGGCCGCCTATACAGCTTCATGTGCGACTTTCAATCAGATCCCGCTGGTGGCCCATCAATACACCATTGTCTTATTTTGAACAAAACCTGTTCGGACGTCAATCCCGAACCAGATCCTCTGCCTATTGTTATTTCTTTTGCGCAGTAGAGGAACCCAGTGCCACAAGACGATGGTTCCCTTGGGTGGCACTGGCACCTGACAAACCAACTTCCCAGATGCGTTGCGCCCCCCCCCCCCCCCCCCCCCACGCACAACACACACGCACACACGCACGCACACACACACACGCACACACACACACACACACACGCACACACACCCACACACCACCACACACACACAACACACACACACACACACACACACACACACACCACACACACACACACACACACACACACCACAACACACACACACACACACACACACACACACACACACACACGACACACAAACACCACACACACACACACACACACACACACACACACACACACACACACACACACACACACACACACACACACACACACACACACACACACACACACACACACACCAACACACACACACACACACACACACACACACACACACACACACACACCACCACCACCACCACCCCGCCCCACCCCACCCCACCCCGCCCCACCCCACCCGCGCGCTCCGCAATGGCAAATTTCCCCAAATGGAAACCATGAGGCCCAATAGCTGGCATTGGTGGCGGCGCAAAAGCAGGTGGTGGCACTGGGGGCTCAGGGGGCGCGGGGGGCTCAGGAGCCGCTGGGGCGTCGGGAAGGGCTGGGGGCCCTTCGTCCTCCGACACATCCAGGAGCGGGGCTTCGGCACCTCGCCCCCGCCCTCTCCCCCGCCCCCGCCCTCGCCCTCTGCCTCTCCCTCGAGCATTCGCCATCCGCGCCCTGGTCGCAATGGTTTGTGCCCTGCGCTTCTGCTTAGCAATCGCTTGCTTAAAGTCTTTAAATCCGCTTGCCTTTCTTTGCGTGAGATGTCTGAAAG